AGACTCATGGAATCATCAAGGTTGGAAGAGGCGTTTAAGATCATCCAGTCCAACCATCAACTCAGCACTGCCACTGTGACCCCTAAACCACATCACCCGGTGCCAGATGCAGATGCCTCTTGAACACCTCCAGGAATGGTGACTCCACCACCTCCCTGGGCAACCTGTTCCCGTGCCTGACCACCCAAAGAGTGAACATTTTTTTTCTAATATCTAATCTGAATCTCCCCTGTCTCAGCTTGGGGCAATTTCTTCTATTCCTCGCCATGGGGGCATGGCAGAAGAAACTGCCCCCCCCCCTTACTACAACCTCCTGTAGATGGGCTCCTCCCTGAGCCTGAAAACTAAACGAACTCAGCTCCCTCAGCACCTCTGTGACCCTGCAAGAGGCCCCTTACTGGCTCTCCAGGCAGCAACAGGGCAGGACTGCCATTACCACAGAGTCCACCCCAGACCGCCGTGGTGTTTGGTAACACTGCTGGCCACCACCAACCCCAGCCAGCCTTCCTTCCGTGGGCTCTGAGCAGGCAGCAGGACCAACCTTCCTGGTTCAGTGAGTGTGTCTGTCTCAAACATCCAGTAAGATCATTCCCAGTATGCCCATTATATTTAGTAATTCATGCTGTGTTGGGGCAGTAACTACAAAAATGCATTAGGAAATTGCCCAATACAGGGTTTTGTCACCCTTCCACTGAAGTTGGTCCTTACTAGAGCAAAAAAAGTGTATTGCAACTTCTCTGATGTGGTATAGTTGCTGGTAAAACAGATCCCAACTTGTTTGAGGTTCACCTAAAGTCTTAAGAGGTTTCTGACAAAATGAGTTTTAAGGGAATGGACTGTGACAGATCAAATTCAGAGGTTGCCACGACAGTCATTGTTTAATGTAAAATTAGTGGTTTATTTAAGCTTTGGAACTAAGTGTAGTGCAGCTTAATTTTCTACTGTCTTTATGCATCAACCACCATGGAAGAGATGATAAAATGCTACTAAAAATACCCTTAAAAGTTCAGAATCTTTTTTGAAAGCAGTAGAAGAGCAAGCACAGGCACTGGGTTATTTTCACTGTTGATAGCTAATGGTCTGGACTGTCTGGCAAACCAATATTGGCCATGGCAGCAACCTTCTGTCAAGTGAGCAGATGCAGAGGTAGCCTTTGGGCCAGGACTTTAATTAGACATCTAAGTCCCATTTAGATACTTGAACCTCTACTGAGATTCCTGTTTTACTTACATAACCATGGGTGGAGTCTCCCCTGCATGCAAGTGTCCCAATCCACTTCAGTGAGAAGGGTCGTGGCCTTTTGTACAAAAACCAAGAATGCAATTACAACAGAGCTGACTGGTAAAAGCCATCCAGTAATAGCACAGGCCTGAAGAGAAGACCAGCAATCTCTTTTGTCATAATTTGAAAACTTTTTGCCTTTGAGAAACTTTTAATAGTGATTTTGTAGCCCATATTTAGTAAATGGTGCAGAGAACAAAGCAGGTTCATTCACTTCAGTTTTTTATCTTTGTAAGTGGGCTGCTTGCTCTGTACAGGCTTGTACAGGGAATTTTCAGTCTGCTGTGGAGAAAGCAGAAGGCTGTTAATCCTTCAAAATTGCTTAAAAGCTTCTCTTGCTTTGCCCCCTTCATCCATCCCCAGTTAATACTGAACAGGGGCAAGGCTTTAGTGACCTCAGATCCTCACAGCTGGGGAGCAGAAAGAACCTGCTTCATGCTTTGCCAGGAGCTGGTGAAGAACACTGGCATGTTCAGCTAAAGCAGCTGAGTAATGTGCTCTTCAACTGTGCTAGGGATGAAAAGGTGAGAGTTTTCTCTCATTTATTTACTGTTGCTCCTTAGCTGTGCACTAATAATGTGAAACTGTGAACATGCAACATGCTAGTACAGGGGATAGTTTTCTCTTCCTTGAAGAAGAATGGCAGGTTTATCAATAAGATTCTTCCTCAATATTCATAACTTATATAAAGAGATTTGACAATTTTCTGGATTTATACTGTCATTTGAAGCATACCCTCATGCTTTGATGTTTTCATCTCACAAGCACTCAACATTTTAAAACATTACATGTGCTTATGGAATTCAGTGGGAATTATCTGCAGAAGAATTCTGGGGTCAGTTGTAGCCACTGTCACTATCATCTGGTTCTGCTGGAGCCACTCTGACCCCCAGCATAGTTTCCAGCAATGTTGATTTTAAGTGTTATTAATTATAGAGATTCTTTGGTTTCTCTTCAGGGACTAGACCACTGCCAGAGAAATTCATGATCAGATTAGGATTTGCCTGTAATTTGTTTTGTTAGAAAAAAAATGTTTTCCATCGTTGCAAATTCACATCACACTCTCCTTGTCTGCTAATGTGGCTATTTTAAATGTACTTATTTTTGGAGTTTCCTTCTGTCAGTCACACCCTGTGTCCTCTAAGTATATTCTTTGTGTATCCATTACCTTTAAATTTTGAACAGCTACTGTCAATATTTGTTCCTTTAATTAGGACCATATGTTGTGTTAGTTCCTTAATGGTGGCTAGTAAAATAAAACATGTGCTTCCTCCATTCCCACTTGGAAAGACAATGAATATGTAACAGATGTTTATCACACATATAGTATCTGTTCAGTTTTCTGCTGGTTTGTAGCACTCCTTGGAGCAAACTGTGTTCAGTAATCATCTTTGCACTCTAGAAAGTTTATCAGGGAAACAGACTGGTCCTCACAGGACATTTTTCAGGAGGATGTTTTAGCTGTTCCTTAGAAACAGCTGGTTTGCAGGCCCGTGGGGGGATTGTTAAAGAGGACAAAATGCCACAGTCTCTGTTGGAGGAGGGTGAGTGACACCTTCACCTTTACTTGCAGGTCCACTGGAGAGCACATGCACAGAGAGAAGGGGACCAAGCAGCTTGAGCAGGTTTTACCTTTTCTTATTTCACCTGACAGAAAGGAATGAGAAATTATTAATCCAGCTCTATACATGAAGAGGAATGAAAGTATATGAAGAGTTTGTACAGGTCAAAGTTTAATTTTTAAAAGTTTTGCAAAACCCACAGGGTAGTACTAAAACAAGACTTGCTCCCTCTACCAGGGTATGTTGTACATGCCCCAGAAGCTTTTCTAGCACTCCTCTGCTGAACCCAGTTTCCCATAGCCCTCTGTTTAAGAAAGCATCTGTTGGGTTTTGTACTCAGACATTTGTAATTGTGCAAATGACTGGCAAAGTGCAAAAGCACGTTTAAGATTAGTGTGAGAATGGACTCCCTTTATATCTGAATAGCAGAATCGATTCACATCAACATTAATGCTAAAAATACCCACCTTATCTATTTAAAAGGAAATCCTCAGAAGATGGTTTTTATGTGACAGCATAATTGAATGATGAGTTCTCTGATTCTGATTAGTGCTGTAAGTGGTACTTCATGATGACAGACTGTGAATCCAGGCCAGGGAAAATGGATTGTTCAAAACTCATTTGAGCATAAGCTTAAATTTAGGCTTCTGAAGGCTGTAGCCTAACCTGGGACAAGAGGTGCTTCTGCTGGCATGCCTTGCCTTCTGTCCTGAAAGAGCAGCTTTTATATGTAACTCTGCAGATGATAATTAGAAAGGTGAAAACAGTGCTATACATCATATTGACATAGAAAAGTATAATCTTTATTTATTATAGCTGAAGCTATCTCCTATTCACTTGTAGTGCTTCAAAAGAGGCAAATAGATACATTTAATGTCTTTTGCTGTGTTGAAACATTTTTGTCCCATGCTTTGGAGACTGATTTTGTACCTGAAGGCTGATGAGCAATGTACAAAGCATTTCCTTTCTGCAGCAGTTATTTTTAAAGCTCTATGCCACAGTTAACAAGCCTACTGGGAGCCTAATGTGTTAGCTGGGGAAACCCAAAGGAAATCTCTTTAGATTGCTAATTTGCATGTTTAAAACAATTTTTTTTTTACCTTTTCAGCACACAGAGTAGAAAAAGCTATTTGATCCATATGCTCCACGGTGTACTTGAGCTACATTCACATAGAATTACACATTCAGACTGGAGTAGTGTTGTTTTAAGACTGAGTAGTCAAATGTTTGGTAACTTCTTGACAGTCTTATTAGACTTCATCACCATAGTTCTGCTTTTTACAGC